CCCCTCCATTAAAGGCAGACAGACACCAACTTGAGTGGAAGCTTCATATAGAGTTTAGTGTATCTCATAGTGCTTTGGATTTGGGCTGTGATTTGTAATCTTTTTTGAAAAATGAAAATCATTTAAGGACATGATAAACATGATATATTTATGTTTTAAATTAATCTATCTTTCCTAAGAACCTAGTACAAAAATAATATATAATGGAAAGTATGCATGCCAGTAGACAATGAATTCTAGAGCAAAAGGGGAGCAAAGAAAATGGCAGAATTTCATCAAGTCACTGGTGTTCTATCCAGAAGCTGATAACATGAAGCTGAGGAACTCTATTCTTCTTTCCCTTCAGGGAACACACATTTCCATATAATTCCTAGGAAGATAGAGGAAGGAGCTGGACTCTTTCAGGTCTCTCACTGAAATACAGTCAAATTTCCTGGTTTTGTTTTGGTTTTTTTCCTAATCAGAGGGTTGCACCGAAAGTTAGCCAAAATTAAATTGCATTCATTTCAGTGGGTTTACCTTAAGTGGGACTAAGATTGGATATAATCTATAGCTCTCCAACCATGACATTGGAAAGAACAAATTATGGTCCGTGAGGTGTGGTCCAGTCAGGGTCTGGAAGTGTGATTCTAAGTATCATTTGCATGTTGGACATCATGACAAACTATGACCAGGAAAGGAAAGTCACATGCAGGAGATGAAAATAGCAATGAAAGGCAAAGGGAATATGTGAGTCTGCATTACATTCCTAACTCAATAATAGCTCAGCTTTCATATGTAAAGAAATTGCTTTGCTTTTTTATTCACCTAGGAAACAGCAGATGTACATTGGCTTCTGGGATTCATTGTCGCTCACAATTAGCAGGCTGATTCTGTAGCGCTGTAGTTAGAGCTGCATCTCAGTCATTGCTCTGGACAAGTCCCTTACAAATAACAGTGAGCATAATTAAAATGAGAACAATGGCAACCTACATTTATGGGTGGTGGTAAAGATAAGGACCATGAACAGTGAAGTGAGTGCAACTTACACAGGAGAGTGACTAAACATTACAGTAAGTCTTGTAGAGAAGTTCAGAGTTCATTGAACTGAGTGCCAATATGTTTGCCAATCATTTACAGGACAACCAATGAATTTAGGACAGCTGCTGATAACAGAGAACTAACCAGCAAGAGGGCACACTGCATACAAGTAAAGTAATCAAACAAGCCAAGAGCTATTCATGCTTACCAAAATCCAGCTTAATTACAATTAATATAATTGTTGCATCTTATGCAACATTAAATATTGTAAATGGATCAACACCAAATAATGGAGTCATTGAATGCTTCTAGGATCACTTTCTCTGAGGCCATAAAGAAGGATTTTGGGAACCTGGTGTCTTCTGACAGGCACAAAAGTTGGTTTAGAAACTTGGTTTCTATCTCAGACACTTGTAATGGGTATGTCTTTTTTATGTCACTTCTATGTCTTTCTGTTGCCAGGCTAGGTTTTGAGAAAACTCTGTCAACTGAATTTTTTGTGCACTCCTTCTTTCATGTTGCCATGTCTCACTCAGGCTTATAATTTTCTCATGCATCTCCATGGTATGTTGTAGGTAAGATGATCAGGTTTCTCTTGAAGGTGCTTCCTTCCCAAGTTCCAAATATTGAAAGTGGATATATGTGGGATACTTGACTTCTTGAAACTTCTGAAAGGATTTGGGCTATGGTCACACATATCCTAGTTCAAATCAAGGTTTTTCCAATGGGACAGGGCATTGGAAGGATTTGTACATACATGAATGTTGGGTGTGTTTGACGTTTTATATGCAGTAACATTTGCCATTCACATGTTGTTCAGTGCAGTACCCCTATATGCTCATAGTCTTATGTCATTGTTCTATCCAGACTACCCTTATCCAGACTCAACAGCTGGACTACAGGTATAGGTTGTCCTTATGGGAAAGGGGGAGTGCCTTCTTGTCTATAGAATATGATATATTGGGACAATAACTGGTTCTAGAAGGAGATGAAAAAGATTGGGTTGTCAGTTCCGCTTAAACTCTAATCATTATGGTAGTGGCTTAATCGTTTATCATGATGGAAACACATCTTTGGCCAGTGACTGCACATTCCTTCTCCATTATAGCCATGAAGAGAAGTTGAGAAGTTTCTGTTTACATTAATCATGGTTTAGTGTGTTATTTGAACCTTAAACTGTGCCCAATCCTATAGTCTGTTGAAGCAAGTTGATTTCATAAGGCTGAAGTTGGCTTCTTTCAAACAATGACCTAGCAAACATCAGTTAAATGAAAATAGAAAAATTTACAAACTCTTCATAGCTACAGCAGATAAGGAGAAGATAGCTGGAGAGAACCCGAAATGGTGGCTTGGCTCATTCCTGCCATGATAAACTATGGTTTATTTTGATCCCTGGACACAGCGTATGAGAACTGCTAAGCAAGGAAGTCTCTCTTGGCAGTTAGTAACCAAAAAGGCAAAAGGCATCCATAGGATCTACTAGCTCATTTTATGTCTCACATATCTGATCCTCAAAAGCATATTTTAGAGATTTAAGAGATTGTAATGTGTGCTCATACTTTATCTTGTTTAGTCCTCCTTTCTTCTTCTCTTTCTTGCTCAAGTTTCCTTCCATTCCTCTAAACGTATTTTGCCATGATATCTGAATTTGGAAAGTATGGCTAGTGCTTTTCCTCCAAACATGGGTATGCAAACTCAATGAGAGCAGCCAGTGAAAAATGGTAACTCCAACTTGTATTAGTTTGGTAATCTGAAAAGGATCAACAAGGCTGGATCTTTATTTGGACCTTTAAAACTTGGTTCTGTTAAGTGCTGAGGCATATTACAGGTATATTTCTTCCACAATCAGGGAAAGTAAAAAGTACTTAAGATCCTAACACTGGAGCTTTCAAAGAAAATTCTAGACATTTGGCATTGAGAACTAGATCAATTAGTGCTGAGAAACCAGTTAATGAATTGCAGTAAGACATATAGAGAAAAGAAGATGGGAAATACAAGACGGATGAGAAGGGGAAAAAGTCATCAAAACTTTAAAAAAAAACCTCTTGGGTCAGACCAAGGATCTGTGTACTCCGAGATCATAGTTTAAAGTGTGTCCAACCACCATGGTCCAAGTGCATCCATTTCTGCTGTTTACCATACTCCTAGACATAGCCCACATAGTCATCTGCCTCAATATGGCTGAAGAGCAGGAACAATATGCTTTGTGAGCCGCCCCGAGGCTTTGTTGTGATGGGGCGGCATAGAAATGTTTTAAATAAATAAATAAATAAATAAATGTTGCTGCAGCGGCTCCTATTATATTAGATATTTTACCTTCAGTCTCTTTCTTAATAATTAATAATTTATTTAGTAAACTTCTGTGCTGCCCCATTCGCCGAAGCCTCGGGGCAGCTTACAACAATAAATAAATACATAGAATCATATAAAAACAATATAATTGGAAATGCCCTGGCCAAAGATATAAAATCAATAAATAAGCTAACAATTAAAATGCCGTTTAAATAAAAAGGTCTTGGCCTGGCGCCGAAAAACATATAACGAAGGTGCCAGGCGGACCTCTCTGGGGAGCGCATTCCATAGATTGGGCATCACCGCAGAGAAAGCCAGCATGAAATAATGTCCAGCATGGAATTTGCATTCTTCCCTGTCATTGTATACTGAGCCCATTATTTGTTGCTTGGTAAGTCTCCATCAGTATAAATATATACTCCGTAAATACGACTAATATGAAGGTTGGTCCTCCTACCCCTTTGAATGTGCCTCATATTCCATCCACAGTTACACAATGCTATAGTTTTCTTTCTATCATTTTTGGATTAATATCAGCCTCTGTGATATCATAAAGTGCCTTTTCCCTTCCCCACAAAACAGTTATCTCAGAAGAAACATGAAAGTGAAATTTAAAAGTGACACATGTTATTTCTACTATTACTTTCACCAAGTGTCTTCAGCACAGACTATCATATTAAGGCTATGTGCAAATTATTTGTAAATGTGCAAATTGGGTTGTTTAATTTATGCATAAAGTTGCATGATTTACTTTACTGTAAAGTTTTACATTGCTAGTAGAGATGTTCTTGATACATGGAATGAGTGTATTATTTTGGGCCAATATAGTATTCTACTATTTCTCCTTCTGGCTGACATATGACCATTATTTCTATCACAAGGTGTCTTTGCACTTATGCGATTGTGTATATCTATGCGCTTTATTGTCTTATGGATTTTTGAACACAAGCACAGATCGCAAGACAACACAATCACACCTGCCATAATTATGTTTAAGATATGTAAACATATTAAAGCATTCAGAAGTGAAGAATGCCCAAGTGGATCTCTATCAGAGGGGAGGACTTCAAAATATAATTAGTAGTATAAAAATTACAGTCCACCTGGAGACCGCTTGATACTAGTAGCTTCTCCACAAGGTATCTACAAGTATTAATAAGCTCCATTTTGCTACACAGATTGACTGCCACCTTATCACTGCTATAATACCTGTTTGTTGCTGTAAGTGCTAGACAAGCCACACTGTGGGAAAAAGTTCACATGGTAACTGAGTGCACACATGGGCTAGCTACTGTATAAAGGCACTGAGCCAAACAATTGTTCTGTGAGGAAATACAAGAGGTAACTGTTTGATGAGCAGAGCCTCTTCTGTCCATAGGGGTTCTCCTCATGGTCTACAGTGCTGCAGATTTTGGGATTGTGCCATGAGCTCCCCACACTTTCAGAGCAACAAGGGTGACAAGAATGGGGTGGGACTAGCATGCTCCCCTTCACATGTTTAAACAGCACACTATTTAGAAAGCCTGACTAGAGTTTAAGGCAGGTAATAAATCCAACAATATTTTGTGCTTATGAGCGTGTATATTTCTTTTAGGACTGCCATTTTTATTCACTTTTCTAGTGTCATGTGTATTAATTAACCTTCCAACTTCTACTTGATAAAATTATTCCCTGTCATTATATTTTAGGAGAGAAACCATTCAAATGTGATGAATGCAACTTTGCTTCCACAACCCAGTCCCATCTGACACGGCACAAGCGTGTCCATACTGGAGAAAAACCCTACAGATGCCCTTGGTGTGACTACAGGTAATAGGATTAGTAGTGAGAATAGCATAAGGTTTGTGATGACTCAGTAAGATTCATGCAAATTGACTAGTAAAATAGACCGGCATTAAATCCTCATCTGTGCAAAACTACAGGAGAAAACTCCTTATTTGTCAAACTATGAAGTGGGGTGGGGGGTTGTTTTGAAGCTTCTTGATGTGAAACACTGAAGTGTTAATGCTGTTTATTTCACAGATGCTCTGGTGTCTGTTAGAATTCTCTGTGGATGGACTCCTGATCTGAACTGCCTTTTCAGATCAGCTGCAGTTTTGGAAAAAAAAAATCTTGGTTGAGTTGCAGCCATGACACTAAAGAAGAAAATCCCCCTAAGAATTAAACCAGCTCGTTGTCCACTAAGTATTTTAAATTGAAGCACCTGCCTGTCACTTCAGTAACACTGATTCTGGTTTATTTGCTACAGGGTTGGTTTTTTTTCCTTGTGGTTGCAGGGAAAATATTCTTCATGATTCATAGCCAGGAATGGATATTCTTTTCTTAATTAGGGAAGGGGATTGAATGGCTGTGGTTTGCTACCTTTCAAATGAGATATTGAAACACAGCTTGTCCTTTATGGATGTTAGAGGTTACTTCTTGCATGAATGGAAATTTTAATCCCAGTGTATTCTTGCTAATCTCACATTAATATTTGTACCTTTGTCTTGTTTTAAATCTACCCAGGAAGGTTCATTGTAATGTTGCATCACAGAGACTAAAGCCTTCACTCCCACTCTCCCATTTTCAGTGTGACAGTAAACTGGATTATTATTAAGATTACTGTTCTCATTTGTTGTGTATCTCCTGTTAATATGGCTGGAGAAAAGAAGTTGGCAGGAAATTTGTTGGTTGCTGTAGAATTTAACCTATCCTAAGTGAAAGTAGAGCCAGCTTTTCAGTATGTATTTTGCATGCTGCAATGAAATTTTGGCATTGTAAAATCTCACTTCAGGCATAACATTGACTTGTTTTAAGTCACCAATATACCTTTATTAAACAGCTACTAATTCTACAACAGCAGCGTTACACAGTTTGCCAACTTCCCATTGATTTGTTTTGTTTCGTCTTGTTCGTCTGTTCGGCAAAATAGCAGAAGGAAGGGAGCAGAATCAAGGATTTTTAGAAAATTTTCCACAACAATAGATAAGAAATTAATCAGCCAGACCTGCAAATTGCATTAATTTTATAAATGCACCTTTCTTTAAAAAAAAACCCAAAAAACAAGTCACATGTGAAGGATATCCTACAAGCCTAAGTATAAATGGCATGCATTTTTAATATAATTATGTAAACTAAAATACAATATTTTACATTTATTATGCATAATAAACTAATTAAACAATGCTTGGTAAGGGATTTTAGCCTCTGACATCAAGTGCGGAAGGATTCATTGTGTGGATTCAGCAGCACCAGCATTCTGACTAAGGTAGAGTGACTCTACTGAGACCACTTTTCTCATTTTGGACAGCTTCCCTAGGGAATTCATAGTTCCTTTTTATTTTCTTTCTGCTCATATTTGTAAAATAAGGACCCATTTATAATATGCTCTAGTATGTGCTACAATGTAATTAAGATCAGAACCAGGATGTAGGTGTTCCTTTCAAACTAAATAATCTATCAGATACTTTGATACCTCAGCAAATGCAGTACTGCCTGTTGTTTCTTAGTCTAGCAGAGCAAATGTTCCAAGTTGCTGATTATGCAATTATTGCTGTGTTTGCATAATTCTTCATCAGAAGCGCACACACAAAACTACTAATTTTCACGGGGGGACCATATGAAATGGACAGTGCCGAAAAATGTGTGTTGTTAATCTCCATAATTAGCTATTTAACATGTAATGGCAGCTTGGATAACATCTCACCTTGTTTACAAAAAAATGGGAGACTACCAACCTCCACTTCTTTACAAAACAGTGTAAGTTTATCAACTCCTAGGCAGGATGTTGTATAAATGATTGAGCTCAGGGGCCACTACTTGCTAATAGAGACTAGTTACTTTGCAACCGCACTGGTGAAGTAGATGTCAGAGCAAAATTAATGGGAAATGGGTCTCCCACAATGGGAGACAAACTACTTGAACATATTTACACTGAAATCAATTGGCTGATACTTCCAAGTAATGTGGAAATTACTTACTAATTAATTATGTAGCTGTATATGTAGCTATATAGCTCATTGCTGCACGCCACAGAAAACTGCAATGCGGATGAAGATTCAAAGCACGACATGTGACATGAGTGCAGAAATGTGCATTTTAGTTCACCCTTTCTGCTGACAGTCCACCTTCAGACTTATTGCCTCCATTTGTCAGGCCTATTAACTAGTAAACTGCCCAAGTAGTTAAACGATGAGGCATCTTATAGAATCCATCTCAGAGCTGGGGATGAGTGATCACTGGACCTTCATCAACAAAGAACAAAAGATTCAGGCATGTGGGGAGGGGCCAAAGGAGATACTCTATTGGGAAAGGAAATCTGGGGTCTTTTTTCCCTTGGTACTAGTGTTACCAGGAAGTACAAGCACTTGATACAGGCATCAGATGAGATTAGAGCAAGGTCTATTTTCTGGTAGAGATGGTACTCTGTAAGTTTCCCTGGAAGAGATGGAAGACTTGACAAAAGCAACAGGGAACTGCACCAAGTAGACTGCCAGACAGGCAGACTCAGGGGGCCAGCTTTAACACAGAGCTGAGTTAGCTAGACTGCATTTTTTGTTTATTTGTCATTTGTCCCGTAATTGCCATTTTAAAACATTTATTGTTTGCACCCTGAAACTGACCAGCCTTTTTGCATTCTTGAATTTTTGCTGAATCCCTAATGAATCTTTTACCCCTTTTCACCAAAATCTGGGCTGTGTCTTTCGGGGGTGAAATGGGAGCGAAGGCTCACAGAGGTGTGTGCCATGTTTTTGGCCACATGAACACTGATTTAACAGTGCTGAGCAAAGCCGTAATCCAAGCCGAGCTCTTCTCAGGACACAAGAGGTCTGTAATGAATTCAAGTACATGAGACCCAAGCAGGGTCCTTGGTCAGTTATTCCCAAGGAAACAAGAGAACTCAGGGATGGAAGAGACTAGATTTGTTTTACCCTTGGAGGTAGTAGCTGGTACCAGTTGGTTGTGCGGCACCAGGCCTTGTGCCCATAGCTGGGGTGCCTGGTTGTACCAGATCACTACAGATGGTGTTCATGGACTTAATGCTATCTGGAAAAGCTTAGGCAATGGTGATGCCAATTATGGCTTTTAGGCCAGTTGGAGCCTTGAGTGACTACTGGCCTCAGATACCAATGCACTAGTTACTTTCATGCTGGACTAATGTAATTCACTTTACATGAAGCTACCTTTAAAATATGTTCAAAAACTTTAACTTTTCATTTCCATTTTTGACTTTTCTTCAGCTTCCCTAGGATGATAATTTTATGGTGGGAGATAGTGAGAGGGGTTGCACAGAGGAAGATAATAAAGTGCAGGGGTTTTATGTTGTACTTTCTGTTTTGAACAGGGAGAAAACTTAGATGTATCAGAACATCAACTTCTGCAGAGTTCTGAGTTCTCTATCTTACATTCTTCTTGCCCTTCTCTCTTATTTCACAACTTTTACTCGCTACTCTTTTTTGTCACCTATTATTGGAGGAATTATATATTTTTGATTCTTTGCAAGTGCTTAATCTACATAAATTGCTTTTTTGACTTCTTTTTATTATTTATTTAGACTTTCAAATCTAAGAGAAAGAGGATTTTTTTTTAATGTGTAGACCAGAATGAGGAATGTGTGTTCCTCTAGATTCCATTGGACTGTAGCTCCCATTAGTCATAGTTAACATAGCCAATAATGATGATTGATAGAAGTTGGACTCCCTCATCTGGAGGGTCACATGTTCTCTAACTCTCCCATAGATCCTTTGCTTGTATAAAGGGTAAAATGGAAATCAACAAATAACAGTGTAGGCAGTGTAACATACAATAATTGTGTTTGTATTTGGTTGTTGTATTCCTATTTTTAACTGCTGTGTAACCCATTACGTGTTTCTACTGTGGTAGAAATTTCAGAAGCTGGACTTCATAAAACATGCTTTATAAAACATTTCTAACTGCTAATAACAGAATTGGGTTCAGTCATACATTTTGGAGCTCAACATGTCTGGAAATGTTGACAAGATATTTACTTCTTTGGACAAGAAGAACATGACACTTTTATTGCTCATACAGCACACTTTTCCAAAAAATCACATTGGTAGTAGAATTCAAAGGCACTCTGCTTCCTTGTTCATGCCCTGTTTTCTTGGCCAGCGGCAAATGTCAGTATGGTGACTAGCTTATAAAGAAACATGTGTGTTTATTGGAAAGCATGATTATCCTTTAAAACAGTATGTAACAAACTGTATTTCTTTTTAGACGTTATTCTGTATGTCAGAATCATTTATATGGTACACAGTTCAATAGCAAGCTTGGTGCCTATCTCTTTTTTTAATGAAGAGGCATAAGAACTGGGTATTTACTTTGCATGTAACGTAACAGAACAGGAAGGGCAATCCTAGAATAAAATAGTAATATAGTATGAGTATCATTTTTTAAAAAAATGTATTCCTCGTTGGTGGTTCCTCTGCCCCAGTTAAAAGCTGGGTTTGAAAATATTTCCTGGGTCTTCAGGAAATGAAGTGGATGTTATGCAGAGGGTAAGCGGAATCCTAAATCTTTATATTTCATCATGTTTATCCCATTGGCAAACATGATTTGGCTCTGTGCTCACTATCATTTGTCTTATGATGAAGATGGCTCAGATCCACCGCTACCTTAGTGCTGGACCATTTGCTAGGCACTTCATTATCTTATGATGAAGACAGCGCAGAGTGCTACCCTCCCACTGTGTGGAGAGGAATCCTGGCAGTGCCTCTGACGCATTTCCTTGCATGCCTGTGTAAAACACTTAGATGGCCAAAATGTGGGGGGTGAGGGAAGTGCAGAGGGACTCCAAGCTTCCACACTTCTCCTGCCCTCCACTGGGTGTTTGTAATCTTCTGACTTTGCGGTGCTATGGCCAGCCACATTGGATCAGATCCACCCATGCATTATTCTACCCTATTGTAGTATATTCTACACTACAATAAAATATATTGTTATGCTTAACTGTCTTTGAATCCATATTTTCTCAGTTCATAATAAGAACAGGAAATTTTTCTATGTTACGTTTTCAGACAGCAAGTAGGAGAAGCCACAATCTTTGTTGTCTATGTGAATAGCACACATACTTTTCATCCTGAAAGTTTTGTTTCTTCTATCATAAACCACAATCTTGGTTAGTATTTTTCTTCTTGTCAGCCCCCAAACCTGCTGTTAATAATTCAACTCCATATTCAACAGTTAGTCTGATGGATTTGTTGTGAATAGTTACCCTTAATTAGAAAAATTCTATATTTTAACCCAGTTCAGTATTTCTATATACATGATGCATGCATTTTTTGAAATTAACAAATCTATTTCATGATTGCTGTTGGATCATTAGGCAAATGTTTGTATGAGAGATATACTTATATAAATTTGTTTTGTGGTATCATTTAAAGGTAGACAAATACTGAGTAATTAGTGTAGCCATTTTCAAAACAAACTGACCTTACCTGCTTCTCCCTAAGAATCAAAATAAACATGTTTGTTTTACTTGATCGCTTGTTAGTCTCAACTGTAATTATTAAAGGACCAAGCCTATCTTTGGGAAGGGTCATTCTACAAGGAATATCTCTGGACAGTCCCTTGTGTGGTTGTTAGCTTTTACTTTATATACATTCTGGTAGAATTGCAAGCCTTGCACAGAAAAACATAAACTATATTTTGACAGTACTATTTTGGCAGTATTCCCCAAGCTTGTGAGCTATTATCATGTAATGAAGTTGTTGTGCACCTTCCTTAGCTCTGTGTAGTTAATGTTGCAAACTCCTTTTGTTTTCCTTCTCTTGACTATCAAGGTTTCAGTAGTAAAAAGACTGATATTATTGTTTCATACCAGTCTAAAGGGGGATGTAAAAGTGGATCTAAATTTTATGTACACCCACATTAGGGGCTGCTTTACACCTCTGGAATAAAATAATTGAGAAATTGTTTTGTATAAGGAGATAAAGAGGTTCCTATGAGATAATAGGCCAACAAAATGGCTAGGGGAAATGGGCAATCTTGAAGAGAATTTGTTCTGGAAAAGGTGTATTTAGATGTTTATATAGCGCTTCATTACTGAAGGATTTAGGCCAAGAGAATAATATTTCAATTGGTTAGTATTTTACTCTTGGGAAGTATGCTATGGATCTCAGAATATAGAACTATTGCATCTTAACATCATTTAACTTCTTTTTATCCTCACAATTAAAGTAGATCTAAGATTCCCATCCACGTTTAATTTTAATGGCTATTAGTGAAGAGTGGATCTTACTGTTTGTGGGCAGATGTAGCAACCACATTACTGCTTTGGATGGGCTGTCATCAGTCTCCTAATGATACCCAGCTCACTCTTTCTATACTTTTCAGGTAGAGCCTGTGCCATAATTGATGGATGCAAGCTATTTTTTTAAAGAGAAACTGAATACAGACATGAGAAAGATACTGTTAGTTAGTGGACAGGCTAATTCAGGACTGGGAGAACAGCCTGTTCTAGTTGGGTTTGCACCCCTTCTGAAGGATCAGGTGTGCAGTTTGGGAGTCCTGCTGGATCCAGTGGTCTTTCTGCATTCCCAAGTGGCCAGGAGTCCTTTCACTGAACTTTAGTTGGTGCATGAGCCATGCCCCTTCCTGGAGAATGGAGATCAGGTACAGTGATGCATGCCCTGATCACCTCCTGATTAGATTACTGCAACATGCTCCGCCTGAGGCTATCCTTAAGGACTGTTCCAGTTGCTTCCTAGTGTACACTTTCCAGGCCACATTGCACCCATCCGTTGGATCACCTTGGTAGTCTTTCTGAGGGCCAGAAGGCAATACAGAAATGTCTGCACTGATAAAGACATAAAACCTGTACTTGTTGTATGGTAGAATTTTAATTAACTCTTGGCAGAGCTCACTTCAGGGTAATTTGGTTGTCTGTATGGGTTCTGTGAAAATGGAACTAGAGGTGGTATTTATTCTGTAGTAAAAGGGATTAATTAAATGTGGCACCCTTTTTTAATGCTTAGGACATACTTTCTTCAGATCTCCTACCTCAGGAATATTCCGTCTTTTCAGGGCTGGGGTTTTTAAAACTGCAACATGCCTATTGTAGAGGTCTGTTTTCTTCCTATAACCAACTTTTGTACACAGGGTATTTGCCCATAATAATCCATTAATTTAAAAACCAGTGGGTTTTGGGGACCCATGTGTGTGCTACCTCCTGCATATCTGTCTCTTTGACTTGAACACACAACCCATGATCAGCTCTTTATAGGTTGAGAATCATGGAGTGTGGACCTAGACCAATGGTTTGTTAGGGACTAACCAATCCAGGGGTTAACCCAAGGTTAAAGAACAATTGTTGGGTTGTGCACTAAAGCAGAATAGAGATGTGCCTCCAACAGCCCTTTTTTAAAAAAAAAAAAACAACTAATGGGTGGTTTTTTTTAAATGCACCAGGCCATTGAGAGGAATAGCAACTGTGCTTTCCATATTTTTGGTCAGGCACTTGGACAAGGAACCCAAACTCCAAAACTTGCATAACTTAGGGCAACTGATGGGAAGGAGTTGATATAGGTATAAATGACATGCATTGTTCTTCCAATTTGCTCTTATCTGCATGTACACCCACCTGCATGTGACACAGGAAGATATTGCAGTTGTTTCAAAATACAGCTGTTGGCTGTATCCTCAGACTAGATATTGAGGACATATTAGTACTGAAAGAACATCAAGTACTTCCTGTCCATTACCAGGTAATATTCAAGGTGCTCCTTTGAAAGCTCTATACAGCTTACACCCTGATACTAGGGAACATGTGCTCCCATACCAACCTACCTGTATACTAAGGTAATCTTTTATGGCATTTCTGTTGCTGTTGTTAGCTGCATTGAGCAGTATTTCATGGAAAGGTAGGATACTGATTTCATAAACTAATTAATTAAATATGTGGAGGTTCTTCTCCAAGTGTCCTCCAAGGTCTGAGGTAAGGTGAGTGGTGACAAGAGAAAGACACTTGCCAGTGACAGTGCCTGTCCTGTTTTAACACATACTTCAAAATGTCAGCCAAGCAATGAAACTGGGAACTCAGCCAGCATGTTCACAGTATAGATAAGCCTGGGAATAAAACAGTCAGTCGAGGCCAAATACAATTAACAGGGAATCGTTTCCCAAAAAGTAGGCAGAAAGACAGAATCAGAATCCTATCTGAAGTCTGAGTTAAACCTGGAAGTGCATTCATCAGCAGAGACTCAGCAACAGGGTTTGGTCCAGAGTGGTGCATGAAGGTTCATTCAGGGAAGGAGAATACCCACAAACATGGTCATTGTGTCTAGCACTTCGTCAGATTCTGGTAAGTAGATTCCCATACTCCCTGGTGCAGCTAATCACACAGGCCTGCTTTGCAATCTGGCCCACTGCCTGAAAGGGAAAATCTGTGTTCTTTTCCAAGCAGTGTCATTTTGGGGTACTGGGCGGTTTTCCATCTCTATTCAAATTCTGTCTCCCTGGGGAAGGG